GTTGTAAAGTTTGAGTAGAGGATTTCCTGAGGAGAAAAATGCTACAGTGTAATAGGACATGTACATTTACTGGGCTGGGAAGGAATTTTCTTGGATGGGCATGGATGCTCAAGGGGATAGGATGGCGCATTGGTTTTTTCTCTGTTCTTTGGTGTAAAGAATAAGAATTTGTAAATCATTTACTTTTCTTACAGCATAAAAAATACCTCAGCAATAATCTTCTGTTTCCTGATACTGAATTGCTGTGAAATAGAATTTATTATATTAATTCATATTTGCAAACTTTTGATTAGGAAGTTAGTATAGATCCATGAATGAGTATATTAATATTACAATTAATTAGAAGTTATTTTTGTTCATTTATTTAAAGCTATTACATGCTACTACCCATTTAAAATCTCAAAGTAGTTTATAGTAAAATTCAAACAGTTAAATATTTGATACAACTTACAGAAATCATACAAGAAAAAATAAGGAAGCAATATAGAAAGTAAAAGCAGCTGTAAAGTTGTTTAAAGTAGCACTTCCTTAGGAGAATAACTGTTTCTTCACCTGGCACCAGACGAAAATATAGACTACTCTGTGCATACTTCACTGGCATCCAAAATCCTACTCTCAACCCCTTCCTCCACCCCTCTCACTCAGACAACATGGTGTTGTAAATGATTACCAGAAGAATATGAGAATGCCTTGTCTGAATATCCCCACTTAAGAATAATTTTGCTGTATCAGTGGTTATATTTAAAGCAACATAGGTACATGTATCTGTTTCAGAAGGTAAGCATAAATTGTTTGGGCTCTCTATGTTTGAAGAGATTATTCTTCTCATGTGACAATGACAGGAAGAGTATGTATTTTTCTGACATTGGGACCTTCCTGTGAGAAAGTCTGCACAAAATGTTGTATTACATACCCTTTAGAGCAGCCTTTTTCTACTTTTTTACTTTAATCAATTTTTAGTCTCAGGGAAACCCTTCCTAAAAATAGCAAAAAAAAAAAAAAACCCTTCACAATAAAATTCACTTCTGACATACACAATCCATATTTTATAATGTTTATAACAACAGCAAAGTGGCAGGCCAGCAGCTGAGTGCACCACATAAAAAATTCTCACCACTGTGAGTGCTAGCATTGCATGGTGCATGAAGTACAAAAAACTATGATTTTTGTTGTTTTGGTCACAATCTTTTGTGGAATCCCTAGCAACCTTTTGTGGGACCTAGGGTTCCACAGAACCACAGTTAAGAAACGTTGCTCTACAGCCTCAAAATGTTCAGAATTGTGCTGCAGAGTTTGAGGAAACATGAGAGAATGTAAAATTAATTCTCCCCTTGTTCCACACACAAAAATAGTTCCCTGCAAGCAAGAGAAGTTAATCTGATACCTTCCCTAAAAACGAGCCTACTGTGCTTTCCAAAATTTTGAGAATTAAACTTCATTTCATTTCTTGTCAGATCCAAGGCACAAGAAACAAGTGATTAGTTTATATTCCAAATGTAACTGCACTATTATGCTATCTTGCCAAGTAGAAATTTAAAATGCATAGATACATATCTCTCTTCTATGTTAATAGCTAAATAAAACAAACTAAAATAGATGTAGTTACATAAATGGTTACTTTTTTATGAGGATACCTTTATTTCTATCAAGATTTTAAGACTGTATTATCACTGAACATAATTTTCTAAGTCCAGTTTGTGTATTTCAATTGGAATTATATACAAGTATTCCAAATATGATGTATTAATGTTTGAAACTGTTTGATTTTTCTAAAACAATAAAAATGCCAGTCCTGCAGAAAAATATTGATAGAGGATATCCAATTTTGGCACTGAAAGAAACGTATTACTGAAGAGCTGCTTTTGTGGAATGATTGGAAATAGTAATATCAATATTTGGAGTAGTTTCTATAGCATTTTCTCAAAAATTAGCATGAGATTAAATTTTCTGGGACCTAAAGCTGGTACAAATTATGGTGTAGATAGTTTACACCATTGTTTACTTTATATCCTGCCCAACTCCATTGAGATTCATGGAAATAAAAAACTGAAATGATCATAACAGAAAAATAATATAGAAATAAATGAAACTTCTAAAACCTTTCATAAGTTATAACCAGAAATAATAGTAATAGTAGGTGTACCAATGATAGGTTTAAATGAATGCTCTTTTGTAGCTCAGTTTTAAAGATAGTTCCAAAAATTAGGAGTGATGGAGCCCTCCAGATTACAGGTAGGAGACGGTTCAACAGGGTGGGTGACTGTTCAACGGGGTGGGTGCCGTTGTTGAGAAACAATGTGTTTTTGTTTTCCCCTGGTTTTCACATATGGATGGAATCTTCAGCTTTATTGGCTACTGAACATTTTTTTTGGCCTCAGTTTAAAATTCTAATCTTTAC